GGTACACGTAGCACATACAAGAAGGGATGGAGGAGTAGAGGGAAAAACGGCGCGGCGGCGGTGGAGTTTGGCTCGGCGGCTTGGCCTGTTGCTGGCAGCTCTCGCCTAATGGCGGCCCCGTTTGGTTCCGACTCCATCCCCCCGGCCCGCCCTATCACAGCTTACCTCCCCAAATCGGTGCCCAGCACGCGACTCGGTGCAAACGATTGGGAGGCGAAGGTGATGATGCCGGGGGGTAGGCGAGGCGCGGCGCCAAGTGCGAAAGGCGAGCGGCGTGCAGCGTTCAAAGCCGTAGATAGACGTTGACACGTTGCCGGCCAAGGCTATGCGGCGATGGTGGCATAATTAGGTGGTGCTTGCCGCCGTGCGCCGAGCCAAGGTGCGAGTGCTGTGGGGGCTGAGCGGATTGGCTACCGCAACTGTATGGCAGTAGTGAGGACAGTGTAGCCAGAATCTCAGTGCGAGATCGAGGAAGGAGGGTGGTTTGAATAGTCGTGCGACTTGGGGAAACGGCCCTTTTTCTTGCCGGTGGTGCCCTTGCCCTTGCCGGTGGTGCCCTTGCTCCAGTCGGCGTCGGGGTGTTGAGCTGCCGATTCTGAACTCCGTTGGTCGTTCCTCCGGACTTCTGCTCGGCGTTCGGCTGGATATTGGTCGCCACGGTGCCGCCATTGTGGGAGTTTGTGGTGAATGTCGCGGTGATCGTTGTGCACTGTGGTGACGCACCAGTAGTTGCTGAGCTTGTAGTACCCGAAATCGTGTGCGAGAGTTGGCCCTCTCGCGGCCGCCTATGCCAGGCGGGGATCCTGGATCTGGTAGTCGTGGATGTCGTCGTGGGCCCAGGCAGGGCACGAGAACAAAGGTTCAGGTTGTGAATGTCGGCGAGCTATCGCGGCCGCCCAGCAGAAGAAAAGGCGGGTGACACGCTTGCCGCCGCATCGATGGAGGTCCTGTACCTCGCGGGCATCCTTTCGGGCGTGAGCGACTCTCCCCCTCCTCCTCCTCCTCCTGCTCCTCCTCCTCCTCCTCCTCCTCCCTTCCTCCTCCTCCTCCTCCTCCTCCTCCTCCTCTTCCTCCTCCTCCTTCTCCTCCTCGTCCTCATCTCTCTGCCTCCTCCCCCTCCTACTCCGCCTCCTCCTCCTCCTCCTCCCTCCCCACTCCCTCCCTGGTCCTCCTTCTCATGTTCCTCTCCCCCTCCCGCCCCATCCATCCTGCGCCCAATCCTCCTCATCGTTTGTCTTGATTCTCATCCGCCTCCTCCTCCGCCTCCTCTTTCCAGCCGTATGTTTCCTTCTTTCTGTATCTTCTTCTTCTTCTTCCTCCTCCTCCTCCTCCTCGTCCTCCTCCTCCTCCTTCACACCCTCCTCCTCCTCCTCCTCCTCCTCCTCCTCCTCTCTTTTTTCCCCTCCTCCTCCTCCTCCTCCTCCTCCTCCTCCTCCTTTTCCCCCTCCTCCCCCTATCTCTCTTCGCTATTCCCCCAAAACATCAAGAAGGTTTCCTATGCGGTCTCTCAGGCACTGGCTCTGCGCGCGTCGCAGTCCTGCCCTTCACGCGCGGGTGCCCTTTCGCGTTGGTGCCTTGCGGTGCCCGCCGGTGCCCTATGGAGGCTGATGCCACATGAGCGACGGGAACACGGGCCTGACGCGAGAAAACATAACGACCTTACGCCGCGGCCTATGCGGGCAACCATCACGGCATGCTGCCTTGGAAACGATGGCGCCTCGGCGCGACCTTACGCGGGAAGCTTGCGCGCGGATCTCGGCGCAGTCGACCCCACTTCCGTCGCCCACACACGGCGAGGGCAGTGGATAAGGAACCCTTTGCATAAGGAGTCCAGGGTCAGGAAGCTGGTGGAACTCCGCCGCCCACAACATCTGAGGGATTCTCCAGGGTTTGAAACCTCCTGCGCACATTCCTTACTCAGCGCCCCCGCCGTAGATGTTGCCCCACGGAGCCCTGCACGTCGCAGGGAGGAGGAGGAGGAGGAGGAGGAGGAGGAGGAGGAGGAGGAGGAGGAGGAGGAGGAGCAGGAGGAGGAGGAGGAGCAGGAGGAGGAGGAGCAGAGCAGGAGGAGGGAGGAGGAGGAGCAGGAGGAGGTAGGAGGAGGAGGAGGAGGAGGGGAGGAGGAGGAGGAGGAGGAGGAGGAGGAGGAGGAGGGAGGAGGAGGAGGAGCAGGAGGATCAGCCGCTGGCACCCTCGGCGTCCTGTGGCTGGTGCCCCGCGTTGCCCTGGGGATGTTGCTCTGCGGCTGGTGCTGCTCTGCGGCGCCCCCGGGTGCCGCTGTGGGCCGCCGGCGCGCTCGGTGCGCTGCGGTCACGACGGGGTGCTTCTGCCTCAACGTGTCGCGGCGGCGGCCCCGGCGACACGCTGTGCCTTGCGAGTGGGTAGCGTGTCGCTCCGCTGTGCGGGGCGGGAGGCCGGGAACATCGACCTGCACTCGGCGACACATCGCCGACAGATCGGCGATAGGCCTCCGAGAACGAAGCCCAGAGCGCCTGGGCGGAGCGGGCTGTGGGGCCCCGGTCGGCGAGCAGTAAGCGGTTGGGTGTCGATGCGTCCCCCCCGTAAGCCTACCCCCCCAAACGTTGACCCCTGGCTTTCGAATCTTAACTCGGCTCTCTGGCGGCCGTTCGGGACAGTCCTGGCACCCCTGGAACGCCCTCGGCGATGCGCAGCCGCTGGAGAGCATCAGGAGTCTGGGAAGCCGCCGAGAACAAGCGAAAACGCCAGAAAACCTCGAGCCTACCCCCCTGAGTCTGCCTACGGTCGACAACTGTTGCTTAGCGTGTCGTGGCGGTGGCCCCTGCGAAACGCTGTGACCTGCAAGCGGATAACGCGTCGCTCTTCTCAACGGGGCGGGAGGCTCGGAAGAAGCTCGGGGCGCTGACGCCTGGGAGAACCTCGAGGCACCCCCCCACCGAGCCTATCCCCCCTGCTCGTCGGTCCGAAACAGTGGGTAGAAGCATGAGGTAGGAAGGCGTAGGAAGTATATTGGGCTTCTGCCCGCCCCCTGAGAAGAAAGAAAAGGTGAACCCACTCGACCATGGAAGCAGGAAGGTACCAAACAGAACAGACTGGGATCCGAAATTCCAAAAGCACCTACTCTCAACGACCGACGGGCAATCCATCAACCTATCACCCCTAACGTTTTGCCCCTGGCCCTCGGCCCGGCCGAGCCTGCCGCCGGGGAGGACGCGGCCGCCGGGGCGGAGGCTGCCGCCGGGGTGGATGCGGAGCCTCGAGGAGCACAACAACGGCATCACGGCATCAGCGTGGTTTCTCCTCGCCCTGCTGTCAGACACTTAGTACGCTTCGCCCCAGCCGCTGGGGCGCGCGAGTGGATTGCCTCTGCCGCGCCACGACGGAACAAAAGTTCTCCTAGACCCCCCTCCTGCTGGCCAGAACCAGTGCTAGGCCACCTCAGACCCCCAGCCTGCTCCAACAGAGGAACAAAGAGCTTCTTGCATAAGAGAGGGCGTGATCCACTGCCGCTTTACTGTGGAAAATCCCCCCCCTCTTCCTCCGGAACCTGGGGGTCCCCTCTCCCCCTCCGGAAAGCCCCCCCCTCCTCCCCCCTGCTGGACCCCACGCCCTCTTCCCCCGGCAAACCCCCCCGCTCCCCCCCTCCCCCCCCTCCCATCCGGAAAACCAGGGGGGGTCACTACCGGTTCAACCCCCCCCCCTCGAAAACTGGGGGGGTCACTACTGGTTCGAACCCCCCCCCTCGCGAAAACCGGGAGGGGTCACTTCCGGTTCGAACCCCTCCCCCGCCCCCCCACGCTCACCGCCAGCAAACGACTCCCGGTCCCGACCACCGTCCGCACCACATCCCCCACTGCTGTCCCCAGCACCACTGTCCTCAACAGCACTGTCCCGACTGGTTCCACCACCGTCCCTACTGTCCCCACCAGTGCCCCCACCACTGTCGCACTGTCCCCACTGTCCCCACCACTGTTCCCACCACGGTTCCTCTCTCCCCCACTTTCTCCACGTTCCCAACCACTGCCCGACTGTCCCCATTGTCCCCGCTGTCCCACTGCCTCCTCCGCTGTCCCACTGAGCTGTCCCACTGTTCCCACCACTGTCCCCACTGTCCCCACCACTGTCCCCACTGTACCTCTGTTTCATTGTCCCACCGCCGTCCTCGCCACCGTCCTCACCACTGTCCCCACCAGCACTGTACCCTCCACTGCCCCACTGTTTCCACCACATTCCCGCTGTCCCCACACCACTGTCCCCACCACCACCGTCCCCACCACTGTCCCACTGTCCCCACTGTTCCCACTATTGTCCACCGCCGTCCCCACCACTATCCCACTGTCCCCACTGTTCCCACCATTGCCCCCGCTGTCCCCACCAGTGCCCCCAGCAGTGTGTCAATGTCCCCACTCTCCCCGGCCCGGCGGCGAAGGGGGGGGGGGTTCGAACAGGTAATGACCCCCCCCTCGGTTTCCGAGGGGGGGGGGTTCGAACCTGTAGTGACCCCCCCTCCCCGTTTTCCGGAGGGGAGGGGAAGGGGGGGGGTTCGAACCGGTAGTGACCCCCCCCGGTTTTCCGGAGGAGGGGGGGGGGTTCGAACCGGTGGTGACCCCCCTGCGAAAAACTGCAACGTCGTGGGAAATCCAACTGGATCCTTGGACCCCATCGTTCTGCGGCAGTTCTCGAGCTGGGTCGACCCAGCTCGAGAACTGTGAGGGCCCCGGGGCACGAAGCCGGGCGAGCACGCCCAGTTCGGAAACATTGACAGCGCTGCAGCTCCCATTGGCGATGCCCACAGGGGAGGGGTATGGGGAGGGGGGAAGCCTTCTTAGAAGGAGGCTGCTTCCAAGAAGCCTTCCCCCCTCGCCCTGCACCCCTCTGCGCGAGGCTGAGCTCGGCTCTCGGGGTTTTCCTCCTCCGAGAGCCACCGAGGGCGCCGCCCTCGGACGGCGAGCCCGCGCCGCGCGCGGGCGGCGCGAACTCGGCGCCAGCCGCGGCTGGCCGCGGCGGCGCCTGCGCCGCGCCGCCCGCTGCGGCGCTCGCGCTTCCAGCGGCCTCGTCGACGTCGACGACGGCGACGGCGGCGGCGGCGGCGACGGCGACGGCGACGACGACGGCGGCGACCGTCGACGGCGGCGGCAGCGGCGGCGGCGGCAAACACGACGAAGACGACGGCGACGGCGGCGGCGACGACGGCGGACGACGACGACGACGACCGTCGACGGCGGCGGCGGCGACGACTGTCGACGACGACGAAGACGATGAAGACGACGACGACGACGGCGACGGCGACGGCTGCGGCGACGACGGCAACGACGACGACGACGACGACGACCGTCGACGTACACGGTCGACCGACGACGGTCGACGACGACGACGACCGTCGACGGCGGCCACGACCGTCGACGGCGACGACGGCCGTCGACGGCGGCCGCGACGATGACGACGTCGGCGGCCTCGCTGGCCGGCCGCGGCTGGGACCCAATTCTCCGACGATGTGATTGGTCCAATCTCGGCGTGTATGCCAGAGCATCGCCTCGGAATTCTGGTCAGAAAGCGCCCCAGGAGAGGTCTGGGGAGTAGCGGTATCGGGGTCTCTTGATCTTCGGCGATGCTATTGTTTCAATCGTGGCGTTGCTCCTCGATTTCGGCCTCCGGGGCCTGTCATCGGGCTTGGGGTCCGTCAGAAGCAGATGGGGGGCGAAAAGCTACCCAAAAGGAAGGGGTCGGAACCTCTGGGGCCGCGGGGTGAATAAAAAACAGATCGGAGGATGTCAGGGGAGCTGCGATATTCTCAGAGGCTCGAGGTTTCTGGGTGCCCTCGGGGCTCTTTACTGGACCTCCTGGGGCGCCCCTTTCGCTGGCCTTGCGAGCGGCAGTGTGACTGACATGTTTCCTGACTGGGTCGAAGCACTGATTGCATGCTACTGCTGCTCTCTCGTGAGTTGTCTTCTGAACCTGTCACTGTTCCGTAGCCTGCACGGCCACTGTGCCGATCAGGCGTGCCGCACCGTACCCTGTGGCGCCCTCGTCGGCACGGCAGGGGATCTCCCTCGCAGCTCTGGCCGGAACGCGCCCGAGGGACAGGTCTACGGCTCGATCGACAGGGCCCGCAGCACCCGCTTGAGCAAAACAATTACGACGGACAATGTTTTTGGCATAATTCGAACGCGCTCGAGGGACAAGTCTGCGGCTCGATCTACAACCCCAGGGCCCTCAACACCCGCTCGAGCAAAACCGCGACGCGAAGTGCTTGGCTCATCTCGGCTTCTGGGGGCCCTTGCCAGGCCCGGGTGCTGTGAAGAAGCGGCTCTGGACGAGAAGCACATCCAGGAGGAGGCGGCCAGTCCTCCTGGGATTTACGGGGCGAGAAAAAATGGCGGCGGGGATGGTGGCTCCTTCCCTGCTGGGGGGCGGGGCATCAGTGGGACGATCGGATAAAAGACACAAACCCGCGGGTCAAGAACTTGAGTCCCTTCGCCGAGTGCCCAGGGTCCCGCAAGGATGGCCGAAGCGGAGGCCATTCCAGAGCAGAGGGCCCAGCTTCGAAGAACGCAGGGGCACCCATCCAAGACAGGCTGCTCTTCACCCTCGTGCCACCAGCGAAAGAGCTGGACGGGGGCACCGAAAACCGAACTGGCCCAAGAACAACATCAACACACATACATACTTTCAGAGGTTCGCGCGGGCCTTTCTGATCGGCGCTGGACCACCCTCGCTGGCGCGCGGAGCGCGCCCGGGGCGGCGCTGGAGGCGCAGCCAGGGGGCCCAGCGCCGACACGAGAAACCCGCGCGGACCCCCGAAAGTTTGTGTTAGTGCAAGTTGTTCGGGCGTTGGCGGTGCTGAGTTCAGTGGGACCTCGTTTGAAGATGTGCGCCCGGGGATCCCCCCCGCCCCATTGCGCTAACCTCCGAAAGTTTGTGTTAGTGCAAGTTGTTCGGGCGTTGGCGGTGCTGAATTCAGTGGGACCTCGTTTAAAAATGCGTGCCCCAGGATCCCCCCCGCCACATTGCGCTAACCTGAACTGCCAATATCCGGAGACACACCAGCTACGGCAGACTTGGCCGAATTCTGGTTGTTTTTCAGGCTTCGGGGCCCCATGGCTAACTGGCTGGCTTTACCCGGGGTCCTGGCTATGTCAGACGTTTTCCCATCCCCGAGTCCCAGGACCCCCCGACGCCGTGATTTTCCCACGACGTGAGCAAAACCTCCGCCGTGATTTGTTCACGACCCGAGGGGATCCTTAGGGTCCTGGCTACGTCCGAGGACCCCCTCCTCGAGACCCCCCGACGTCGTGATGTTTCCACGACGTGAGCGAAACCTCCGTCGCGATCTGTGCATGACCCCAGGGGGTCCTTCGGGTCCCGGCTGTGTCCGAGGACCCCCTCCTCGAGTCGAGGCCGATGGGCCCCCCAGGGCTGCAGGGGCCACAGCTCCCCCCCGGGTCGTGGCCGGCCTGGCCTGGGAGAGCGGCGCGCCACCCGCTCCCGGGGCCGGCGCGTCGAGGCCGTCCAGCAGCGAGTCGAAGAAGTCGTCGATGTCGTCGCTCTGGGCGGGCGGCGCCTTGGCGTCGCCTCCGGGGCTGCCGCTGGAGATGTGCTTTTGTGCTTCTGCGGCTCTGCTGCTCGTCGATGGCCCGAGCTATCCACCGAAGGGGGTGCGGGGGGGAGGCGCTGGCCGACGGCGTAAACCTTTTGCGCTTTGGGCAGCCCCTGGTCTGCCCGCGCGCACCCGTGTGGTGCATCCCCCTCGGACCTGCGCAGCCGACAAGGTCAAATTATCCGTGTGTGGGGGGGTGCGGGCAGGTCAGGCAGCTGGGTGGATCGCTGGACCCTAAAAACAATCTCCTGTCGCCCCCAGCGCCGCTGGTGGTGTCCTCGAGATCGTCGAATAGTTCCTCCACGTCGAAGTCGCCGAACAACGTGAAACCGCTACCTCCAGCTGGCGCGGCTGCGGCCGGGGAAGACCCAGCGCCGGTCGCTGGGCTGCTCTGCTTGACGCCGCCGGGCTTGGCGGCTGTGAGCCGCGCGGTCTTCGAGGTCCGCTGCTCGGTGGCCAGGGGGTCCTCGGTCCAATTCCCGGGCTCCTCTACGAGGAGCACCTGCCACCGCAAGATGCCGGAAGAAGGGATAACTGTGTGAAGCGTAAACTTTCGACGGTCCGCGCGGATTTCTTGGATCGGCGCTGGGCCCCTCTCCCTGGCGCGCGGAGGGGCGGCGCCGGCGCGGGATGCGCCGCCAGGCGGTCCACAACGCCGATCGAAGAAGTACTCGCGGATCGCCGATGAGCATCTTTTAACCGATCCCTATCCCCATCCCCACGGGCGTGGACTAAACCCAACTGGCCGATTTACTCCCCTAGATGGGGATATAGGCTGTTCCCTTCGAGTTTCGAGGGGCAATCCCCAACTGGGGTGGTGGGATGGTGGGGATCGGGTTGGGGATGGAGATGGGGATAAGGATCGGTGAAACGATACTGAGTCGAAGGTGTATGTTTATGCCGTTTTCTCTTCTTCGCGATGCGCGAGTGGCGCGGGTCGCGTGGGTTGCGCGCGGTGTAGCTGCGGTAACAGCACGCTGCCCCGGAGGGCGTGGTGCCAGTCACCTCGCAACGCCCCAGGTGGAGGTAGCGCCGCGTGCCTCCGACGGCCAGCAGCCACCAGTCGCTGCCCAGGGTTACACCCTTCTCGATGAGATTCCTGTTAGCCCCGTAGATCAGCACGACCTGCCGCATGACGATGGCACGGTGTGCCTCTGAAAACGCCTTGGTCTCTTCGCCGAGCAGTCGCTGGCCCAACAGAGGCATGATGCACTGGTCCACCAGCACCAGGAAAGACCGCTTGGGGTCCAGGTCTTTCCCTGTCGGGTGGTAGTCCAAGCTCTGGCAGCGGATGGCCAACAGCTGCTGCAGCCCCAGCTTCTTCACATCCGGCTCTGCCGCAGAGGCGTCCGCGGCAGCAACATTCTGTAGGGTGGCCTATAGAAGAGCAATGAACTGCCTAAGCGCAAACTTCCGAAGGTCCACGCGGATTTCTTGGATCGGCGCTGGTAACCAATCCAGGCGCGCGGAGCCCGCGAGGGGCGGCACCAGATGCGCCGCCAGGGGGGCCCAGCACCGATCCAAGACATCCGTGCGGACCGTTGAACAAGTATGTTTCGAAATCAGTCTCGGCTGCGAGCGAGGGGGAGCAGTGGGATGGAGAAGGCCTTTCCAGAAGGTTCGGAAGTCCCCCGGCCTTCTGAGAAGTTTTTCTGAGCCTCCCCCGAAGACAGGAGCAACTTCTCAGAAAACGCAAGGGCCTCTGAGAAGTCCCGCCGCCTTCTGAGAAGGCCTTCTCCTTCCCGTTTCCCCCCTGTGCGCGCTCTCCCGAATTTGGTTTTTGGGTCACAACTTGGGTCTCAGACGGCCGTTCGGGACGATTTCGGCGCCCCCAGAACGTTCGCGGCCAGGCGCAGCCGCTGGAACGCATCCCGCGGCTGGAAGGCCACCGAGAACCGACGAAGATGCCCGAAAACCTCGGACCCCAGCCGCGCCAGGAGGCACGGCACCGTGCAGGCATCGGGCCGCATCGGCTTCGCGGGATCCTTGGGGTCGGGTCGGATCGAGATGGCCTATGTGCGAGGTGGGGATTTATAAAATATCCACCGCATGGGAACCGACGTCCTGGTGCCCCAACGGGCGGTGGATGTGGATATGTTTCGGCCCCTAGGGGCCCGAATATGTCCATATCCTCTGCCTGTCGAGGCTCCGAAAACTCACCCTCCAGGCCAGTGGTCATGTATAAATTCCCGCCTCGGACTATCATCGATATCAGGTCGGATCTGTCGGATCGAGGTGGGCCCTGTGCTTATGCAGAGGAGGAGGAGGAGGAGGAGGAGGAGGAGGAGGAGGAGGAGCACTTGCTGCTTCTTCTTCGAGCCTCTCCCTTCAGCAGCCGCTCGAAGAAGCCCTGCCTCACCACCAGCGGCGTGCCATTGGGCCGCCTCGGGAAGTCGAGCAGCCCTCTTGGGGGAACCAAAAGGCACCCAGACCGTTACTCCCTCCTCCTCTTCCTCCTCCCCCTCCCCCTCCTCCTCATCCCCCTCCTCCTCCTTCTCCTCCTTCTCCTCCTCCTCCTCCTCCTCCTCCTCCTCCTCCTCCAGACCTCTCTCGGGCTGCATCCTGACCAGAACCGCAAGGCGAACCCAGCGGTGGCCAGGAGGGGCCCCGCCAGAGGCCCAGAAAGGTGAACACGAGGGAAGGGGGGGGGTAGCGGTATGGGCAACTTCTCCTCCTCCTCCTGGCCTCTGTCGCCCAGGGCGCCCCTGATCGCCAGCAGCCCCGACTTCAGGGTGAGCTCCTCCGACTCCGGCCCGAGCCAGTGGCTGGCGAGCACGCCGCTCTCCAGATCCTGGGCACCCTCGGTTTGCGCCATGGGCCCGGCCTAAGGTCGGGTGTTGCTGGCTGTGTCCCTGGCCGAACCTTGAGATCTTGGCGCTGCAAATGGTTCGAAACGGGATCCTGGCGTCACAAATTGTTCGAAACGGACGACTTTGCCTCGCTTCGGGCCCTGGGGCCTTCACAAAGCGATTTTGTTAGAATCAGGCTGCACGAAGATGGGGTCTAGGGTTCTGGACGTGATTTTTCGCAATGTTGGATTGTCTTCGCAAGGCCGGATCTCAGGGAGCTGTCCCTGGCCGAAGGTACCCCCAGGATTTCCAGGGAGGCCCCCACGGCCTCCAGAGCACCCCTCCCGAGGCTCAGGGGGCCCCTTGGGCTTCAAGATGGAGCGAATAGCTGGGGACCCCTCGGGCCAGGGCACCTCCAGCAACCCCCGATAAAAGGGGCGTCTGGCGGCCCCTAATCGGCGGGCCGAGCGCCGCTGGCGCCAGGGATGGGCGCGCGCCCAGGGATGCACGGCGAGGGGGCGCGGCTCGCTGGATGGGGAAAGGAGGCAATCAGGCACGGGGATTGGAGAGCGAGGAGAAGATGCACCAGAAGAGTGGAACACCTCACACATATACACACACAGACACACACACACAGACACACACAGACACACACAGACACACACAGACACACACAGACACACACACATACACACACAATCACACAATCACACAATCACACAATCACACAATCAGACAATCACACAATCACACAATCACACAATCACACAATCACATAATCACAGAATCACAGAATCACGCACAGACACACACAGACACACACAGACACACACAGACACACACAGACACACACAGACACACACGCAGACACACACACACAGACACACACAGACACACACAGACACACACACAGACACCCACACACAGACACACACACAGACACACACACACAGACACACCACGGACACACAGAGACACACACACAGACACACACACAGACACACACACAGACACACACACAGACACACACAGACACACACACAGACACACACACAGACACACACACAGACACACACACAGACACACACACACAGACACACACACACAGACACACACAGACACACACAGACACACACAGACACACACACAGGCACACACAGACACACACATAGACACACACACACACAGACACACACGCAGAGACACACGCAGAGACACACACACAGGCACATCACTCACTCACTCACTCACTCACTCTCACACACACAGGCACACACATTCACACACACACGCACACACACACACACGGAGAACGGGAGATTGTGGAGCCCCTCGGGGTTCCAGGGCGCGCGCGCGCGAGGCTTTCACACTCAATTCGCGCGTGCGTCTTTCAATGGTGTGCGTACTCCGTGGCGTCCTCCTCTCCTTCCGCCTCCCCCTCCTCCTCCTCCTCCTCCTCCTCCTCCTCCTCTTCTTGTCTCCCCCCCTCCCCCCCCCAAACAACAAAAAATCAGGTTGGACATGTTAACATGTTTTTTTGTTGTTGTTTTGTTTTGTTGTTTGGGGGGGGGGTCGGCGGCGGAAAAAAAAATGTGACGTGGCCTCATCTGCCCTCCCCCCTAGAAGGATTCCTATTGAACGCCCCCACAATAAGGATTCATAGTGAAATCCTCGACAAAAGGATTCCTAGCATACCCCTCCACTGAATGAGTCCTACTGGAATCCTTCACATGTGGATTCTTATTGAAATCACACGCAGAAGGATTGAGATTGTTCAGATTGACACCCTCAGCGGAAGGATTCCATGCGAAACCCTCCACTGAAGGATTTCTATTGAAATCTACCACAAAGGATTTCCCCCATTGGCGGTGCATTGGCATTGGGTTGGGATCGCTTTGGCATTGGTGCGGTACTGAATTGGCACTGCATTGGCATTGCGCTGGCGAGATCCAACACCTCCCTTCGCATACTGATTCCTTTTGACCCCCCCACAAGAAGGGTTCCATTTGAAGCATCCCACAAGAAGGGTTCACATTGAACCCCCTCACGGAAGGATTCTATTCGAAGCCCTCCATAGAAGGATTCTTCTTGAACCCGACCACAAACGATTTCCCCCACTGGCATTTCATTGGCGTTGAGTTGGGATCGTTTTGGCATTGGTTTGGCATTGGTTTGGCGTTGCATTGGTATTGCGTTGGCATTGCGCTGGCGAGTTCTCATCCCCCCACAGAAGGATTCCGATGCAAATCTTGCACAACAAGGAATCCTTTTGAAAGCCCCCACATGAAGCAATCAAAGTGAAACCCCCAACAGAAAGATTACAATCGAAACCCTCCACGGGAGGATTCCGATCGAAATCCTCCGGAGAAGGATACGTAACCAAATCATCCACATAAGGGTGCCTAGTGAAATCTGTTGGAATGCAGAAATCCCGCCATCGGCAAAGAAAGAACCCCCCGTTGGCATTGCATTGGCATTGGTTTGGCAATGGTTTGGCATCGCATTGGCGTTGCGTTGGCATTGCGCTTGGCAGTGCGTTGCTAGTGTGCTTGCGGTTGGCAAGCATTGCGCTGGCGAGTCCTACTGGAACCCTCCACAGAAGGACTTCGATCGAAACCTTCTA